TAGGGACACCGAGGGGCCACAGCACCATCTCCCCTCCCACCCACTGTACGGCTTCCCTGGGACAGCAACAGCCATGAGGAAAACTGCATTTGGGGCTAACCCTGAGCAGAAAAAATCCCTCAGGTTTCTCAGAGGATTCCCAGCAGGGTTCCTGCTGTGTCTCCAGCCACCCACGGGGGAAGCTGTGCTGTTTCCGCTGCACATGGCATGTGGACATGCTGGCACCAGAGACACCAGATGGCTCCCACACACCGAGCCGGGCCCAGCACCGGCACCGCCCGGCCCTCTGCCGTCCCCTCGGCGTGCCCCAGGCCCAGCAGCTCAGAGCTGCTCCTGGCAGTGGCTCTGCGCTCCCCTCAGAGCCGTGCCCTCTCAGCTGGTGAGGGCCATGTTTGGTGCTCCCCACGTTCTCTGCAGTTGTCCCCCCTGAGCCCCCACCATCCCCAGCCCGTGCCTGGCATGGCTGCACTCAGAAACCCTTCTGGGCTCTAAAGGAAAAGCTGAGCTCCACCTTGCCTTTTCACACACATTCATTATCCCCTTTTCAAGTCAGGCAGCCATGACTGTGCAAGTGTTTCCCTCAGGTTTCAGTGCCAGGTGAGACAGTGTTGTGGTGTTTTGGGAGCGCTGCTGTTGATGCAGCCAGTGCTGCCGGTCAGAGTCTTTGGGAAAAGCAAGGGAACGAAAAATTCTGCTGAGATGATGCAGGAATTGGGATAAAGGTGTGGCTATTGGATACCTGCAGAGTGGCAGGACTCAAGTTTTTTGGAGAGCCACAAGGCCTTGAAAGGGATGCAATGAGGAGAAACCATGATATTGAGGGCAACATGTGACTTCCACCACCTGGAGACCTCAGATGGGGCCGGTGGAAGAAGGGTTCAGTCAAACACTGTGCCGTGAACTCCACAGAGGGGTAGCACCCCAGTGATGCTCTATGGCTCATGTTGTGCAGAACCAGATGGTCCCTGCAAGCCACACCACCCCCAACCCCAACAGACCCTTCCCCAGGATAAGTGTGGCCAAAACAGTATTTCAAAAGACTCAGGAGACTTGTACCCTTAGTTAATTATTCTGGTACTGACCGTGGGGACACTCACATGAGTGTGGCTCCAAAGACATTTTTTCCATCTCCAAATATCTGAATTATAAGACATAATGGTTTGAGTGTGCAGCGTACCTGTAACCATCACCCTTTTAAAGATAAAATTTTAGAGGTATGTACATTTGAGATCATTGAGAATAAATGCATATATATGAGGAGAAAAATGTTTGTGTAAATAAAACTGAGTCTGTGAGGAAAAAAATTGGAAAATTGTTCAGAGCCATGAGAAGAACTGAGACCATAATTGTGTACAGCATAAGCAAAGATACCCGTGTGAGCGCTGAGAGGAGGGGAGTGTGGGGAGAAACAAGTAGCTTAACATTTGGTTATGGCCTAAGGGACAAACTTTGCTGAGGATGAAGACACTGAATGGTTAATAAAGCTTCTGAACTGTTTCCAATTCTCAGACAAGGAAGCAATAGTTCCGCTCTTACCAGCAACTGCTCTTTCATATTTGTGTATCAAGCTGGCTTTATTAAATTATTCAGCAAAGGTCAAATGTGATGTGTCTTCCTAGTTTTATTATGATTTTTCATGACATTGCCTGAGTAGCTGAATAATAAACAGTGCATGTCAAAATGCTGCAGTGCCCAAGCTGTCCACAGCCACCCTGGGTTAATCAGTCACTGGTTCTGAGGCGATGTAAATGCACTAAGCAACGACATAAACTGTGTGTGAACATTGCAAAGGATTTTTGTGGGAACCACAGTGGCAAAATAGAGCCAAGCACTAGCACTGTGTACATATCCTGATTTTGAAGCCTGTTTGTATGATAAATACCTGTCAGTTTTTGAACCTGACTAATCCTCTAGCTGTAGCATTTTGCTTCCCAAGACTGATGAGAATTTCCCAGCCTGTGATGAGCTGCCCAGAAGTGCTGGGAGAGCATAGGGAATGAAAATCTGACACATCAAATGGCCTCTTACCTTGCAATGACCACAGAAGCAAACTGCAAGTTTTATTATTTTATAATAGACAAATACCTTGAACAGATTCAAATTAACTCACGTGTTTCTTTAAGTAACCCTGCGATTCTCCAGTTGCTCTAGGGAATATCTAGATGTTATTGGAAAAGTGAAAATAAATTTAAAATGGGATCTTCTAATCAGGATTCAGGTTTCCTTGCAATTAAGCAGAACATTGAAGTGAGCAATACAAAAAAAAGTTTATAAATTCAAGCTGTTCCAGGTTTCTGATGGTCACATTGATACTGCCTTAAATTAATTTCTTTTTATTTCATAAAAAGGTATGTTCTAGTAATCCACTTCATAGACTTTAAGGCCAAAAGACTTTATGGATAGCAAATGTTGAGAATGTTCATGGTTACCAACAAAAATGTATGCTTTACACATCAGCAGTAACCAGAGATAATGCATTTCTTAAATGTATGAGAATAAAGCACAGAATTCAGACATAACAAATAGTTTACATGCTGTTGTCTGCCATACTGCTGAGAAAATGCAGACATCCTTGCTACCAAAAAATATTAGTAGCCTGTGATAATTTGGGTTGTGGTTTGGAATTGCAAAGTTAAGTAGCTTTGTATTTTTTCATTACAACTGGAGATACAGGTTACAGACCTGTAGCCAGATATTTTGTGTTTGAACAGACCTTAACACAGGGTTAAGGATTAAAAACCTAACTCTTCTGCATGTAGGTGCAGAAGCAGATTTCTGAGGACACAGAACCGGTTTGACAATCAGTTATTTTCAGTGATGATTTGTAGATTGGGATAGGCATTTTGTGCCTTTCAGAAAGATACATTGCAACAGCATTTGTTATTTGGATAGAGACTTTTGAGCAACACAGAGTGGAAAACTCTGTGTGATTATTGGAGAAAAATGTTTATTTCTAGCTTTTATTTAAACAAGAAACACTAAAATATCTAGGGAAAAGGATAATAGGTGTCATAAAATTATTCTTTTCCTAGCTCATTCATTAATGCCCAGATAAAGGAGTAGCAATACATATTAGATTATGGCAAAGTGCATATACTGGGTAGTGTGATGGGAGTAGAAGTCATTTCTAGATAATGACTTAATAATAAATTAAAAATCATGGTTGTGACACAAAGAAAAAAAAATTTGTATGAAAACCTGTCTCTCAAAAGCTTCCAATTCTAATGAGATGGCAGACAGTTAGTTAAGCAGCTGTGGTGATTTATTTCCATCTTGTAAAATATGCACACTCACACGCAGAAAAATAAGAGGAGGGACCCTGAGACCTGCCCTTTCTGCACTCATGAGTCAGTGGGGCTTGGACTCCACTGCTGTGAGCACATTCCTCCCAACTTTGACAGAAGCCTCCATGGCTTTTCTGTCAAATGCAATATCCACAGCAGGCTAATTCCCCTTTGACTTTGTGAGCATTCAGAATTCATATCCCATAAACACATGTGGTTCCCAAGAACTTCTTCAGTCTTGACAGTGATAACAAGAAGGGATCAGTAGTATCCCAAGTTATCCTTATGGCTCTGTCAAAGATTTCTGCAGCACATAATAAATCAAGATAGTGCTTAGTCCCTCTGCCCCAGCTCCTCCCAGTTCTCTGCTGCGTGGCTTGACTGTGAGAACAATGGATGACTTTCAAAGAATCATAGAAAGGTTGAGGTTGGAAGGGACCTTAAAGATCATCCTGTTCCAACTCCCCACCATGGGCAGGGACAGGGCCTTTCCTCCCTATCTCTCTTGTTTCCAGTCTCTCCTGCTCTGCATTAGGCTCTCACACAGGAAAGTGCTTGTGACACCCTTGAGAAGAGGATGGAGCAGCCAAAATGCCCAAAATGCCCAAAATTTCCTAATGTGAGGTCAGTGAAGCTCCTCAGAAGGATTGAGGGGATGGGGAGAAATCACAGCTCGCCCACCCCTGCAGCTGCTGGAACAGAAAAGGTGGTGACATTTTTCAATCACCCTGTGACAAGGGTGCACTCCTCCTGGGAAGGAGCACTCATCACCCAGTTCCAAACTGTGTAAGCAAGCAGGATTCTATCCAGTGGTTTACAGGAAAATGATTGCATGTGGGAAATAGAAGTTTAGCTGGCCTCTGCAGCAAGCCTAGGACATGAGGCTCCCTGCCAAGGACCAAGTCCTTGGAAGCAACATTGAAAAAAATCAGAAAAATAGCAGTTTCGAGCAGGGAATAGGTGTTAATAAGAGAGTTTTAAATTTCAGTTGTCTCAGAACTTAAAAAGGGTATCAGAGAAACAGAAACTGGAAAGGAAAGAAATCTCCTTTCCCCCTTTTTAATGGCCTCTGTTCAAGAAATGTATTCCTTCCCTTTTCCTAGGGAAGAGGGCTAGACTTAAAAGAACAAAATAAAAATAAAATGCACATGGGGAAAAAAAAAAAGGCAGAAAGAAATTAGAGGTGGTTACTTCCCCTACAAAATAGTGAGAAAATTAAATGTTCACCAAGCCTAGGGTGAAGTAAAATTCCCTTGCACACTGATTTACCAGTAAAATTTACAACACTCATTTTGAAGAGTTTTCCCTATGTTACAATCAGTTTGTGTGTAGGCCTATTAAAAAATTCTTGAGGCTTCTGAGGACAAAAAAAAATATAATTCAGGACAGATACCACCCATAACTGATTACAAAGTCCCTGCATTTTCTGAAGCCATCCTGTTTGCCCTACTGGGTTTAAACCTATGCTATTTTATTTTGAATGCATGGCAAGGGCTTTTCCCTTGTTTGGAAGATGCACTACTGGTATCCACAGCACTCAGAAAATGCAAAGTTCATTATCTCACACACAGCCAGGCACACAGTGCTCCACATGGCACACAGGCAGTACCTGGGCACAGAGGCCGCCCAATGTCCCCACAGCCCTGGATGTGTGCAGAATACACTCATATAATGAATACAGGCTGCATCGAAGATAACATGGTTTATTTCTTCATGATATTCAGATTAAAATGTATCAATGTATTTATCACAATACTACATTTTAGGACAAAATCATCAGTGCTTTGAAAGTCTTCATAATGTTTATTCATTATAAATAGTAAATATTTACTGAACTTTTTACATGAAAGACATTTGTTTTTTGTTTTCTTTTTTTGATTTTTTTGTTTGTTTGTTTGGGTTTTTCTTTTTTTTACAACACATCTTGTTGTAGAGGCTGCAACACAAAGATAATATTTCATTTTTCCATCACCCTTAAGACTGCTGTGTGAACTAACCTCTGTACTGAACCTAGTCTAACTCACTACTTCATAGTCCTTAACTCTAAAAGGAATGTATTTGTGTTCTGCCTCCCTCTTTGTTCCAAGAATAGAGAGAAATAAATAATCCCACCTTCCATCGTCCTCTTCCTCTCAACATCACAAAACACAAATTTATTGACATTCTAAAATGTCATGATGCAAACTTCTTGTAAACCTTGGTTCCTATAATTATACTGTCTATATTGGATATCACTGTATAATTTAAACAGATGTGTCAAATACAGGTCCATCTCTGTCTATGTCCTGTACAGCACTAAAAAACATGTAAACGTATTCATTTCTTCCTATTGTTTCCTGAAGATGACCTTTAAATCTTGATTAGCAAGCTGGATTTCAGTAATCCAGCAGACTGCAACATTTCTGTATTTTATCATCAGGAATTATGCACTGCAAAAATAAAAGTACCTGCAAAAATATAGTTCTGATTCTATATCTATGACTTTGGATGATCCCAAAGTTTGTGTGAGGTACACAGTATTGCACATTGCTAGGCAGTTATGAAAAATCAGTCGCGTTGGTGGGGGTTTTTGTCTCACATATCTGTTCAAAAAGGTAAAACACACTGGGAAAACACATACAAAAAGGCAAAATCTGGGTTTCATGTTACACAAGATCTCCTCTCTTGGTAAAGCCAAACCTGTGAGTGACATTTATTGACAAGGTGATTACAAAAGCACGGTAAGGTAACCAATGAGTTGCTTGGGAAGTCTTTCGCAGTTATGCAGCTTCCTAGGGACTGTGACGTTTCCTCTTGATGACAATTTCCAGTGTGTACAGTGAGAGGCTCTTCCAATCTTGCTTCAGAAACGGAGCTGTTTTAAAGTTAGACTAAAGTCAGCACTGGATGTCAGATGAGTCAGAGTACACAGAGCTCAACTGCTCTAAGTTTAGTTTCAAAATGTTCCATTTGTCCCAATCAATGCACATTAATTTCAACAACAACAAAAAAATGGAATGTTTGCCAGGCTGTGATGTTAAATACTGCTCTGTTTTGTATACCCACTCATAATGAAGCATGTCACATTTATTCATTATTGCTTTTGGCCTTTGTCTTCTGTATAGCTTTGCCCAGCCTTCAAAAGTCTACTAAAAGCTATGACTGGAGAGAATATAACAAGCTTGTTTCTCTCAGTGGGACTGCCCCAGTTTAGGCTGCACTGTGTTGAGAAGATCCCTCATATCCAAGCCTTGGAGTGAGACCGGAAAACAAGACCAGCTTTAACTTGAAGTGGACAGTTCATTTATGCAATATCTGGCTTCAGATAATGAAAGGCACCTGCAAGAAAGCAAAAGAAGCTTTTTAAGTCATGCTGTGACAACCTCACAGCATGGGGCCATGCCAACTACAGGTTGACAATGTCATATTTAATACTGATGTATCAAAGGAAAGGGACTAATATTTTTATTCCTAGGACAAGTTTGACAAAACTCTATGTATCTGGGATTATATACTGTAATGATTCTTGAGCTGACCTCATTAAGAACATGTGTTTCTAATAGTGGAATGCCAGCGGTTATTTCATTTTGGACAACTCTTATGTTTTACCTAATGGCAATCAGGTTTCATGTCTCAACAATTAATAACATCAAGATGTTGTTGACATCACTTAAGAAAATAATTATGCAGCAGAAATCCTGCTCGAACAATCAGCTATCTCACCAGTGCATGGCTTTGAGGAGAAGTAGCAGTGAGCCCTGAGGATCTCTGCTCAGAACTCCTTGTCTCACAGACAGACAGACAGACAGACAGCAGAGGGTGTGGGCAGCTGGGTGCCCTTCCCAGTGCCAGGGTGCTGTACTCACTTTGGCCGTACTGGCCGTACTGGTAGCCCGTGACGGGGTCCATGCTGTATCCCGTGGTGCTGTAGGTCGGTGGGCAGTAGGACTGGGATGTAGGCAGGCTGTCTAAGCTCTTCATGTGCTCTAACCTCTGGCTGCAGCTGGCTGACACAGTGGTGGTGGGCTCCAGACCCCCAGTTAGAGGGGACAGGGCATAATCAGTTTGGGGCTGGTGAGGCACACCACCGTGGTTAGTCAGGAGTCCCATTACCTAGAAAGAAGAATAATAGAAAGAGTTAAAATAGATTAAGAACTCCATTGCTCACAGAACCACAGAAGTTCTCAAATCTATAATTTGATTTCCTAGACCAGGTAGACTTGATACTTGAACGGTGCTTTGAGTAGCTAATCCCAAGAGGAAGTAGAATTTGATTGCATCATCCACCAAAATAAAATCTGATGGCTAGCAAGCAATAAAAAGTGATATTGGGGCAAATAAGGAATTTTTTTTTTAATTTATGGTTTTAGAGCACCTGATCCCAGCCCCAGCTGGGAGTCCTGCAGATGGGTATTCCTTGAGGACAAAATTATTAGAAAACAAAAAGCAAGTAGTGGCTGTTTAACCATGATGTCCTGCATGATCTAGAAACATAAAAATCTGTGAAAAAGCTCACAATTTTCTTCTCCAAGATCAACAACCATTACAGTGAAATCAGTTTGGAGCATATCCCAGTAGCACTACTGGTGGAAGTAACAAAGAATCCCACAGAATCCTGATGTTCTGGGGCTGGGAAAGGGGCAGAGCAGCTGTACCCCCACTGCTGCATGCCCTGTGTGCTGTGAAGAAGTGAATGTGCAAGAGTGAAGTGCTGGTTGTAACACCAGTTATTGATTCCAACATCACAGTTAGAGGACACAACAGAAAGGGTCAGACACTCCAGAGTGACTTCAAGTCAGCTGTGGCTCCATTATTAAGCTGCTTCTACAGGGACAGTTACGAAATCAGTAGCTGAAAAGAATTTACTGGAAAATACATGCTTGTCCCTAGAAAAGCCCAGCCCCCCATGTCATAATTTCCAGTAGAAGCGCAAGAAAATATTTCAAAACATCTACATTTTCAAGCACAGAACTACAGTGAAAAGTTCTTGTTGTTCAAAAATCTCTCGCTCTACAAGCTGGTGAACATTTCCTCTCCTGGTACACCACTGTAGAACATTTTGGAAATAAGTGTGTGACTCAGATTTGCTTACTTTTTGCTGAAGTAAACTGCATACAGATTCTGACAAACATTCTGCAGCTTCTAACGGATGGGTGACATACAGCTTTTGCCAAAACTGCATATTGTGATAATTTACAGGCTGTTCTTGCTCCAAAATGGCATTACAATTATCTGACATGTGCTATTTGATAATCATTTTGCTTTGCAGCAATTCTTGCCATAAACTAAAGAGAGATTTTTTTTAAATTGGAGTCTATTTTTTAAAGACTAAATTAAACCTCATAAGAACAGATCTGTTTCCTAAGGTTCTGATGCTCCTCCTGGAATTGTACTTATTTTCCATCACAAACTAAAAAGTATTATTATTGCAGGGAGCTTGTGTTTCCAGCTCTGAGTTGTTTGCTTTATTGTTGGTTTGGGGTTTTTTCTTAATAAACATATGAAACATGATCCAGAGATAGTGATTTAGGTGATTTAGCAAAGAAGACCTGCACAGCTTTTACATGTCTGATTAGGAAAAGAGCAAGAGGTAGAAACAGAGTAGCTCAGAAAGGGAAACCCAGATCCCTGCATCGAGAACACAAAATATGTTTGCATCAAATGCACCCAAGATATCTCACTGAAAAAATAAAAAGTGCCGAGAAAGAAGTTCAGTTACTACGTATAACACTGGAATGTTCACTTCTGAGTCATTGAGCTGAAAAACACGAGTTTAACCAGTGGTATTTGCTGAATGTTTCACAAACTGAAGTATTCATGCAAAAACAAATTCCAAAATATTTGCAAAGACTGCATTCAGATATTGAAATCTTACAACTTTTTAAAGTTTTTAATAAAATTTTGTTTATAAAAACAAGATGAATTTGGATTCAGGATGTAGGATATTTTATATTTAATTCAAGAAATACATTCAATGCCCAAAACCTATTAAAAGAGCTTGTGGTTAATAATAAAACAACTCTGAAATCACTACAGATTGAAAAATCATGCTATCATTATGTGCTAAAACTCCCCAAAACTTGAAAATACTGGGCTCTCAAGTTTTTGTTCGAATAATTGGTTCTGAAAACTCTTAAAATTTCTATTATTTTAGCAAGTTTTTCTGTTTCAGAAATTCCAAATATTTTTCTTATAACTTTGGAATTTGATATGGTCCAAAATGAAGCATGCTTAACGACCTGACACTGCATCAGCAGGACACAGCATTAAAACCCATGTTCATTCAGGTTATATTCATCCTTGTCCTTTGAAATTAACACTAGTAGAGTTAAAAGAAGAGAAAGAACTACAACAAAAACTAAAAATAAAGGGATAAGTTAAACATTTACATAGACAATTACTATTTTGGGAAATATTTATGTTGGCAGGAGTATCATGGTTTTGACTACAGTTTCGAGTGCCCAGGGGTTTATCAGAAATCTCAAGTGCAGAACCCTTTGCACTGTCCCGTAGGGCCAGTGTGACACCGAGGTTCGCAGGACTCCCCCACGCTTTGTTCCAAGTTCAAGAGCAGAGAGAAGGGGCAGGGCTGGGCTCACATCCCAGGGGAGCTCCTCTCTGCCTCGGGGCTCTCACATCACTGCCTGGCTGCCAGCACTTTTAGAACCAATTGTTGATTTGGGTAAATAACTATTTTACCAACTGCGGATTTCAATTAGAGGTTTGTTTTAATTCAATGTTTTCAATAGAATAAAACCCGAAACAAAATTATTTGGACTTTGCCAGCAAAAAGAGTGAGCACAAAAACTTTTGGATTAGAAGCTATTTTAAAATTGGAGATTTGTCTTGAAATTTAAACCTGAGTCCTGACAGAATCTCAAATGCCACTCAAACATCAGCAGCAACTCTATTTGGATAGAGATTTCTTTTCTTTGACAAATGAAAATTAGCATTTAGTGAGATTTACTTTAACTTTTTTTTTAAATTAGAAAATAATTCAGCATAATTTTATTAAGTGGACATGCACCTAGTAAATATTCTGGAGCAGAACTCACTGAGCTGTCTGTCTCTGAGCTGGAGAAAACTAAAGTCTGAACAGTAACCAACTTGCCAGAAATACCTTCCTCAGAGACCTTCAGAATCATCCTGCAGTTGATTAGTATCTAAATAATTCGATTTTTGGTCATGTCTCTTTTGAAAGTCTAAGGGAAGTAGCCTCAGGGCAGGAATCTTTGCTACGGTATGTGCCATGACCTTCTCACCCATACAAGGAGTTACAGGAAGGGCATGGCTAACTTTCACCTAATCAATTAGAAATCCATTAACGGGCCATGTCTGCAAGATGCTCAGCACCCTCAGCTTAGCTGCACGGGAGACACACAAGGATCTGGATTTGCAGCTCAGATCTTCTGTGGGTATGAAGCAGTATAGTTCTAAGTAAACAGATATGATTGCTTTATAGTAGTTAAGGTAGAAAATAAATTTATTCAATCTCTATACCATCCAAATTACTGGAAAATATGTACTTCCTTCTAAATCACTTTGGGAAAGCTAAATTAGTAATTATCAGCCTCACTGACCCAGAATCCAAGGGCTGAGTTAACACTGCATTAAAGTGATACAATAACTTTTCAATTTGTTTTAGAGTAGAAATCCCATAAATGTAAAAAAAAAATCAGATTTAAGTTTTTTAACTACATGTATTTTGTTCTCATCTTTTACAAAAAACACACGAATGTTGAGGAACAGTCTTTGTGCTTATACAATAAAATACAATATATAATTGATAAAATCACTCTATTAGAAAACAAAGGTGAAATTAGGGATAAATAAACAGAACACAGTGGACTGCAACAACCAAAGTATGCAGAAAAGTTTTTAGAGAACACATCTGAAGCAACCCAAAATATTCACTGGGACAAATTCCTTGCTGCTGGAGTCAGCACAGAATCACCAGCTGAGGATATGCTCGAGAAAGAGAACTCAGGGATGAAAGCCTTAAAGGCATGAACACAATGTCTGGTCCATTATCAGCTGCTGGAAAATACTTCTATTATCACCAAAATAAAGGCCTTTAAACTTGAAAAAAAAAAAAAAAGAAAAAAAAGCTTATTGTATTGAAATGAAATATTCTCGTTGTTAACATGGTTAGTATTTGAGAATGCAGGAGCCTCCATAGGCACAATAAAATTCTCATATGTTTTAATTCATTTACGCATGCTTGTGTTTAATATGCTTTGTGACCATGCCTGCAATTAATATGATTTATGAGAAAAGAACATGTGCAATATTTTTTTGGGTACAGTGATACTATTTTTCCCCTCCTGTGAATGAAAGATTTAATGAAACAGCTCAAGGAAAATGGTTGGCAGTTAACATATTAAGTTGAACTGACAGAACCATGAGTAAACTTTAGCACAGTTAATGATATCCTCTTATCTGACCCTGACACATTTGCAGCATGTAATTTACAGAAGCTCTGTCCAGGGAATCTTGACAAATGCTCCTAACGATGTCAGGGCAATGTTCCATTCTAATGTAAAACAGATGTGGGTCAGATACCCTCATTCATCACTAACACTGAAAATTTTAAACTCCTTCCGAGATGAATGGCATTACCTGCTGTTAACTCTCTTCACTGTAGAGAAATCTCTCAAAAAACAAAATATTGCACAAGAAAGAACACAAAAAACTCACTATAATGAGAGATTTTAGAGGATTAAAGTTAATTAGCTATATGGATCTATATCTATATGATCTTAGAACCACTCTGCTGATTCATTTTATATATATTAATATTTCCATTGAATACAAGAAACCTGAAAAAAAGCAATTTTTTGCCAAATGGCAAGAGCTGGCACCCACATACTTTGTTGATGAAAATAAGAGTAAATGTACTGACTTTGGACATTGATGATCTGACCCTGAATATTCATATCAATGAGATCTGATACTGATTTCACACCACCAGGTATCACTGGTACCTGCACTGGAATTAGAGAAGGTGCACTGGTGCTCATTTAGGATCACCTCCTATAATCAGGAGGATAACTTGATTCTTTCATTAAATACATTTTTACCTACAAAGAATTACCAATTTTCAAAACATTATT